GCGGGCCTAGAGACCAATGCCTCCTTGGATGGCGGTTGTAATCCCTTCACCAATTTCTTCCTCTTTCTCGACTGCTCCATATCTGAAAACAGCGTCATGATCAGGTCTTGGTCCATGGTTTCAGGCTAGGAGGTGGGAGATGGTATAACATATAGGACTCAGTTGACGGGCGGCTCGAACTCGTGCTTAACGAGGTTCTCGTCGGTCACTAAGTCGAAGCAAGATCTCAACCCAAAGGCCTCGGTTCTAGCAACTTGGGTTGCCTCCTCTGTGCCAAGTGTTGGGCAAAAATCTAAAAACCAGATCAAAAGTTAAAGACAAGGAAATAAGAGCAACAAAGGGAAGCGCGACCAATTGATTAGCCTTACAAGTGTTCCTTGGAACCCCCCAAGACCTAAGAACACTAAGAGTATCGTCGGGCTCCCCTGACAGCTCCTAGGAGTCACCTCTAACAAAAAAGAACCTTAGTTTTCACCCCTTATTAGAAGAAGGGAGCCCAGAAATTAGAGTCTTCACCTTTACCCTCTTGGCAAAATACAAGAAACCTAGGGAGGGAGAAGACTTCAGTTGAAAAAGGGAAGTGAATTCTCGGATAGAGGGAGGAAAGGTGTTCCCACTCTCAAACCAATGAACAAGAAAACCAACTAGGAGGCCCTAACCGTTAGGAGAAAGCTGGGCTGGACAAACATTATAGAACCTAAGAACATTCTGGATAAAAGAATGGACAGGGAACCGAAGACCAGCCCGGAATGTGGACTCGAAGAAGCAAGTTAGCCCAGGGAGAATAGAGTTACACCTTTCGTGCTTCTCGGGGGAGTGCAATTCCACAGAGTTCGGGAATTAATACTCCCGCCTCAATTCTTCCAAATCTTCATCACTAAGGCAGTTGGAGGTATCCTCTGCACAACAAGTCAGGTCGGATTGCTCACGACGGGTCCTCTTAGAGACACAGGCAAAACTAGTCTGGACTTCCTCTTCTTCGACTAAGTAGGAAGACCAGGAGGCAAGACGGAAAGGGGCTTAGCTTCGACTAGAGGCACTGAAGATGAAACTCCAGGGATAAACCCAAGAGCTTCATCACCAACAAAAAACGAGCGGCCACTAGAGGAATTCGTCGTGGTCTCCTCGGTCTCTTCGGCAACAAACTCCGACTCAAAAGAAGAAACAACAAACTTCCCCAGCAAAAGGTCGGACCATACATCGGAGTGAAGGGAAGGAAAGTGCAAGGCACAATCCGTCAAAAACAAAGGTTCCAGACACCAAGCCCTAAGGAAGGATACCCTTGCCACAGAAGAATGACCTACAAATCGTGAAAGGGAAAAAAGGTCATCAAAGTGGTCTCTAAAGTAACTAAACCTCCAGATCAAGAAACGGAATCCAAAACCCCACCAGGGAGGGTTGAATGGATCCAAGTCGAAATAGAAAAGAAGAAGGGAAGAAAGGCGTACCTAGTAAAGCGCTAGAAATAGGAGGGAACCAGAGACAAGGATGTCCTAGGTCGCCAAAAAGTCTGGAGCAAGACACTTCGAAAGCCTAGAAAGGGAAAGGAGCACGAAGGAAGATGGGACTCGAAACCACCAAACGAAAAAGACCAAGGGACCTCCCCCCCTAGATGAATGTATGTATATATATGTGTGAAGCATTTAATTTGTGATAGGCAAATGACGCGACACACCACAAAAGTCGGATCCACGAGCTCACCTGATGTTGACACGTGTGTACTACCATCCCATCATCACTGGCAAACAGAGGCGCAACCCAATCTTGATCAGGGCCAAATAGTCGAGCACAGTCGCCGCTTGAAGAGCCCAAAAAAACTATTTTTTAACCCCAGATCAGAGATGACGACATTCTCATGACTTGGAGCTAGGGGAAACTAATATGGGCGAAATTCAAGGTTTAGGCCTCCATAGTCCAGAAGCCTAACGAGCCCAAAAGGGCAAGAGCAAAGAAAAAAAGGATCCAACATCAGCAGAAGGCTTATAACCTAGCGATTTGGGCCCAGTCCAATCAATGAGCAGCCCAAAGGTTGAAAGCCTAGTCCAAATGCCAATCTTGGGTCACTCGTGGGGACCATGCATCCTAAGGGTCCAAGGGACCATTTTTGACACCTACGATAATCTCAGAGCAGAGAAGGTGGAGCACCCAACCATTAGAGAACGTGGCAACAGAGGCGCAAGACGAACAGTGATCGTGGTGACAGAGGAAGCAGAAAAGGGCAGAGAGAAGGACTCGCAAGATCAGCGCTAAGAGAAGAACAACTAAAAACCCTAAAGGAGATCCTAATATAAATAGAAAACGGTAACCCAACAAGGAAGAACTCTCTCTTCCTTCCTCGTAAGCGTTGGCAAACCACGAAAAACTAGTAGGCAGAGCTAAATACTCACTCTTTGTAAAGGACCCCGTGTCCCAAATTGTTGTGGGTGCATCTCTAATCAAGTAATAAACGATCAAAAACAACAGGAGAGTCCCTTGGTAGTGGACGTAGCCTTAGTCCATCGGCTAAGGTGAACCACTTACATTTTTCGTCTCATTATTCACTAGCGATCAATCTACAACCCCCCTAATCCATCTCTAACCTTCCCATCCAACCTATTGGGTTGGGGCTGAAAAATCTGAGAACCATCAGGATGCATCAAATAGTTGGAGTGAATTTTAAACCCCCCCTCCTCCGGCCACTAGTGAAAGTCGAGAATACCAAAAAATATGGAGATGAGCAAAACGGATTTTTTTGGTTTAGTACCACCTATTAGTAGATCGAGAAATTTCACACTCATTTTTTTGAATCTGATCTCAAGCCGCTTCTTTCCTTGATTTTAGGCTTAGATTTTGGCCCAAAATTTTCGGGGGTATCCAGCCCTGAAGGAGTATTTGCACAATCAAACTCTCCACGTCAACTGCCGTGTTATTTAGTCACTCTTTTTAGTCCCTAAATTTGGTTAATGTAGTATTATTGAATGATAGAACACAGTTTAACCTATTGACTATAGAGTAATACTATTGGGATCTAAAAAATTAAGGTAATTTACTGATATAACGAAGTCTCAATAAAAAAGTCTAAGAGTTAGAGTTACAATAATATTATTAGACCGTATCACTATCACATCATTAGATCAACAAATTAAATATTTTTTAGGTACAAATAGCATTATTGTTTGACCATAAGTACACTGCTTCGTTATTTTTCTCCAAGACTTATCAGAAAGCACTTGCCAGCATCTTAATAAAAAAAAAAACGAGGAAACAGAGTTCCATGCTTCAACACCAAAATTTTCATGATTTTCACAAAATTCTTATATTTTCATCACTTGATTATCGTCCCCAAGAACTGTGCACATTTATGCAATGATTACGTAGATACTATTAGCAAACCAAAATCGTTGTAACACACTTGATCCAGAACTGACATGACAATGTAAGGGCAGGGTGGAGAGATGGTCAATGGTTCAAAACGTATTGTTCACAAAAAAAGCAGCATTTAATTTCCAAAATAAAGTACGGGATAACGATAAGGTGATCAGTGGTTACTAAACCAACCACAATGACAAACAAAGGATTTCACGAACTAACTAACTTACATCAATAATGTCTCAATCTCAAGCTTCAAACTTGTCATCACCGATGCTTACTCATAAAAAAATGTCAGAGAAAACGAAATAAATATAGGGAAAAGAAAAAAACTACTGCTAACAATAATTCTAACAACGCAAAATATTTTTCATTGATATATATATATATATATATATAAATCACTAAAGGTAGTTTTGGGATGAGCCAACACAAACACAAAGGAATGATCTTATGATAGGATTTTGCATTTGAAAATCTGAGATGGGCCCCGGTCTAAAATCTCATTGTACGTCAAAGGAGATTTGGACTTTACAACCCAAAAGGCTTAAGAAAAGGCTGGATCCTTGGAGATACAGAAGGGATGGCGCTTTGTTTAGATATATAACTATTTGCAACTCCATTGGTGGAGAGAGAGAGAGAAAGAGAGAGAGAGAGAGAGAGAGAGAGAGAGAGAGAGAGAGAGAGAGAGAGAGAGAGTGTGTGATGAACACATTGGTAAGAAAATGACGCTTATTGTGCTAAGTTGTATTCACCACCATACATTCTCCATGTGATAAAACACTGTCTGAAACTGCCATCCCCTTTAAATCTCCAGTTTATTATAGATTGTTTAACCAGTTGGAAACACAATATGTGGATATAACATGGAACACACATACTCCACAAGAGACACTTTTTATCAACATGATTCGCTGTCTATTTTGTTCAGGAAAATTTTCTTAGACACTATAAACTGCAACTTTTACCACTTAATTGAACCTAATCTAATTAGTCTCTTTTTATTCTTTCAAAATTTGGCCAAGTAAGAAGTTACAAGGGTCAATTGTCACCAAAATCAAGTATTATCTAATTATCTTCTTATTGTCTCCATTTTTGGGTTCTATAATGTCCTATATACGAAGAGTTTTCTATTTATTTTGAATGAATTGCTTAAAATTATAATAGTTAGTAATTATTCATTTAAATAGTCATCTATGGATGTATATAAAAAAATTATAACTGATTGTATCCTGATCCATATACTCCAAATCTCAAATTCACAATTTTCATGTGCAATTCTACTAAATTTCCCTCACTCCTAATGCCACTTTGACACAACTTGGTACCCTATTAAGGCTTAGATGTGGTCCAAACTAAAAAATAAGAAAAATGTTATTTGGATCTAATTTACTAATTTAATTCACAGTAATTATTAGATTGAATGTGTCTTGTCAAATATTGAAGTTTCGTGTTAATCCAACGGGTATAGTGACACCACATCATTAAATAAAAAAAAAATTAGATCAAGGTGAAAATAGCATTGCTAAAAAATAATTTTGTTTTGACCAAGTGTTATCGAGGGCAAATAATTTTGTGTTGACCAAGTGTTAGGTGAAAATAGCATTGCCAAAAAATAATTTTGTGTTGACCAAGTGTCATAGAGGGCAAAGAAAATTACATTCACCGAAGGCCTCACTCAATCTCCAAAATAATAAACTCCAGGAAAGGACTGTACAGACTGCTTTCTCCGTTGCTCATCATTTACATTCATAAAAGTGTCAAAAATTTTCTGTTAGTGGATAAACCCTAAAGTACTGCTACTAATAAAGCCAACCAACCCCAGAGATCCTTAGTGATTTCCCACTTGTCTGCAACGATTCAAAAGCAGCTCATAGTGCAAAAATGTCATAATCTACAAAGTTGCAACAACTTTCCATGCACTCACACTCATCCCACTTCGTCAACCTACTGTATGTCTTCCTCCTCACTGTCTCTTCTATTGCTAATACTCGTACTTTCATGGCTATCTTCACAGCAGGTGGCTTGAAACCTTCATGGACATTCCTACGCTTTGAAACCATTGTCACCCACTTCTCGATTTCCATTTCCGGAGCTTCGGAAACGCTTTTCCATGGAATCTCAGCTCTACCCAATATCTGTGACCCTCCAATTCTTCCAAAAAGTGGTGCTGTGTTTCTCCAGCGAAGCTCAAAGACAACGCTTCCTTTCATGAGCATGTTCATGGAGTCTTTGGTTCCGAAACAGTCTAAGGAGAATAACTCGTCCCAAGAGAGGTCGGAATTGGATGATATTTCTCTGCTGTTTAGTTGAACTCTACTCTTTTTTCCTGCAGAGAGATAACACCTAACAAACAAGTGTCCTGTGGACTTCAACTCTGTATTTTTAGCTCTTAAAACTCTCAATTCACAGCTAAGAGAAGAAAAATTTTGAGTAGCACCCATGGAGAGAGAGAGAGAGAGAGAGAGAGAGAGAGAGAGATTTATGAGTTTTGTGGTGAAGAGAGGTCCTGGGGTAGTGTGGGATATATATACTTGCATTCTGCAATATGGACAATGGAGGAAAGGTGGTGCAACTTTTTGAAGAAGCTGCTTTTATTCATGAAATAGTGAAACAAAATCACCAGCCCGACAAGATCCGAGTTTTATATGTGCACTGCTATCACATGAGATTTTGTGAAAGATTGCATGGAGTTAAATATCACCCCTTCAGATACTTGAATGGTTAAATCTCTAAAACGACCCTTGCAATTGGTTGAGCTACAATAGTTTAACTTGGCATCGAACGGATGATCATGTTCAAACACCCCTCGACTACAAGTTCAGTGCTTTGTTATCAAAGACTTATTAGAAAGCACTAGCCAGCATCTTAATAAGAAATGAGGAAAAAAGGGCCAGCTTCTATACCAAGATTTTCACAAAATTCTTATGGTTTCATCACTTGATTATCGTCCCCAAACATAGATATTATCGTTGTGACACAGTTAGTACAAAACTTATCCAACAACAATATTTTATCACTGAGATATGTATCAAAGTTAACTCAATGAAATAACAAATCAAAACGATAGAGAGAGAAATGTGGTTTGATCCAACGGCACATCAGGTGGTGGACAAGTATCCCTTGACATTGGGGTCAACTTGGGAAATTAACATTCACATAGAGATTGCATGCAAATACGTTTTTCTTTTCAGTGATCAACCAATGATGATTTTGTGAGATTCCAAGGGTAGTTTTGGGATGAGCTCCCACAAAAACAAAGGGATGATATTATAATAGTATTTTGTATTTGAAAATCTTAACATGGACCCCCGTCTAAAATCTCATTGCACATAAAGGAGATCTGGACTTTACAACTCAAAAGGCTTAAGCAAAAGGATGGATACTTGGAGATACCGAAGGGATGCCACTACATTTGGATCTCCATTATTTGCAACTTCATTTGTGTGGAGAGAGAGAGAGAGAGAGAGAGAGAGAGAGAGAGATTGTGATCAACACGTTGGAAAGAAAATGATGTTTATTGTGTTACATTGTATTCACCACCATACATTCTCAACTTGATAAAAAAATATGTGAAGTAGCATTCTCTTTAAATCTTCAGTTTATTATAAAGACTTGGGACCGCAAAGTATGTGGATATAAACACCAAACACATACTCCACAAGGGATGCTTTTTATGAAAATGATCCGCTGACCTATTTTATATCTCAAACATGAAGATTTAAACTGCACTGCACTTTGTTTACCTATTTAGATGTGAAATAGCTTGAAAGCACCAAATACTAGTCGGACCAAATACTAAGAAGACTCTCACTTGTTCAACGATCAAATTTATGAGATTCACTTATTCAATGATATTAAATGTCATCATTTAGTCAAAAAAATGATACACAAAATTTAGTACCAAGGCAGAAATATTGCTTACATGAAATTGGAGTACATCAAGACCCACTCAAATACAGTCAATTTGAGGCTTAAAACAAAAATATTAAATAAAGAATTTTTATTTTTAGTATTATTTTTTAAAAAAAATTAATTTATTTTTAGTTTTCTATGTGAGAGGAAAACAAAAGAAAGATATTTTAATATTATCGAAAAAAAGATTTTAATTTTTGTTTTTATTTTTTACTATAAAGAGGGAGAAAGAGTGTTTAATTTTAACTTTTATTTTTATTTTTTATTTTTTTTTAACCAGGGAGTGGAAAAAAAAAGTGGATGAGAGCAAATATTAATGAAATTTTGAATAGTTTTTTTTATTTTTTTAATTTCTAATTTTTTAATGTTATGGATTGGATTATAAACCCAAATTATTGCAATTAAAATTTTGATTAGATTTAATTTTTTAGCACTTTTTTGCAGTGCTTCAAATTTAATGGATTTAATTTCTTTTATAGACTAATGATATACCTCAAATTATGTGGTATTCTAAAAATTTAATGCCTAAAGCCCATACTTTTTTTTCCAGCTCAAATACGTTCTTCCTCTTCTTTTTTTTGTAGATTACTCAGCAAAAGGCTTATAACCTAGTGATCTGGGCCCAGTCCAATCAATGAGCAGCCCAAAGGTTGAAAGCCTAGTCCAAATCCCATTCTTGGGTCACTCGTGGGGACCATGCATCCTAAGGGTCCAAGGGACCATTTTTGACACCTACGATAATCTCAGAGCAGAGAAGGTGGAGCACCCAACCATCAGAGAACGTGGCAACAAAGGCGTCAAACGAACAGTGATCGTGGTGACAGAGGAAGCAGAAAAGGGCAGAGAGAAGGACTCGCAAGATCAGCGCTAAGAGAAGAGCAACTAAAAACCCTAAAGGAGATCCTAATATAAATAGAAAACGGTAACCCAACAAGGAAGAACTCTCTCTTCCTTCCTCGTAAGCGTTGGCAAACCACGAAAAACTAGTAGGCAGAGCTAAATACTCACTCTTTGTAAAGGACCCCGTGTCCCAAATTGTTGTGGGTGCATCTCTAATCAAGTAATAAACGATCAAAAACAACAGGAGAGTCCCTTGGTAGTGGATGTAGCCTTAGTCCATCGGCTAAGGTGAACCACTTACATTTTTCGTCTCATTATTCACTAGCGATCAATCTACAACCCCCCTAATCCATCTGGAACCTTCCCATCCAACCTATTGGGTTGGGGCTGAAAAATCTGAGAACCATCAGGATGCATCAAATAGTTGGAGTGAATTTTAAACCCCCCCTCCTCCGGCCACTAGTGAAAGTCGAGAATACCAAAAAATATGGAGATGAGCAAAACGGATTTTTTGGTTTAGTACCACCTATTCGCAAATCGAGAAATTTCACACTCATTTTTTTGAATTTGATCTCAAGCCGCTTCTTTCCTTGATTTTAAGCTTAGATTTTGGCCCAAAATTTTCGGGGGTATCCAACCCTGAAGGAGTATTTGCACAATCAAACTCTCCACGTCAACCGCCGTGTTATTTAGTCACTCTTTTTAGTCCCTAAATTTGGTTAATGTAGTATTATTGAATGATAAAACACAGTTTAACCTATTGACTATAGAGTAATACTATTGAGATCTAAAAAATTGACGTAATTTACTGATATAACGAAGTCTCAATAAAAAAGTCTAAGAGTTAGAGTTACAATAATATTATTAGACCGTATCACTCTCACATCATTAGATCAACAAATTAAATATTTTTTAGGTACAAATAGCATTATTGTTTGACCATAAGTACACTGCTTCGTTATTTTTCTCCAAGACTTATCAGAAAGCACTTGCCAGCATCTTAATAAAAAAAAAAACGAGGAAACAGAGTTCCATGCTTCAACACCAAAATTTTCATGATTTTCACAAAATTCTTATGTTTTCATCACTTGATTATCGTCCCCAAGAACTGTGCACATTTATGCAATGATTACGTAGATACTATTAGCAAACCAAAATCGTTGTAACACACTTGATCCAGAACTGACATGACAATGTAAGGGCAGGGTGGAGAGATGGTCAATGGTTCAAAACGTATTGTTCACAAAAAAAGCAGCATTTAATTTCCAAAATAAAGTACGGGATAACGATAAGGTGATCAGTGGTTACTAAACCAACCACAATGACAAACAAAGGATTTCACGAACTAACTAACTTACATCAATAATGTCTCAATCTCAAGCTTCAAACTTGTCATCACCGATGCTTACTCATAAAAAAATGTCAGAGAAAACGAAATAAATATAGGGAAAAGAAAAAAACTACTGCTAACAATAATTCTAACAACGCAAAATATTTTTCATTGATATATATATATATATATATATAAATCACTAAAGGTAGTTTTGGGATGAGCCAACACAAACACAAAGGAATGATCTTATGATAGGATTTTGCATTTGAAAATCTGAGATGGGCCCCGGTCTAAAATCTCATTGTACGTCAAAGGAGATTTGGACTTTACAACCCAAAAGGCTTAAGAAAAGGCTGGATCCTTGGAGATACAGAAGGGATGGCGCTTTGTTTAGATATATAACTATTTGCAACTCCATTGGTGGAGAGAGAGAGAGAAAGAGAGAGAGAGAGAGAGAGAGAGAGAGAGAGAGAGAGAGAGAGAGAGAGAGAGAGTTTGTGATGAACACATTGGTAAGAAAATGACGCTTATTGTGCTAAGTTGTATTCACCACCATACATTCTCCATGTGATAAAACACTGTCTGAAACTGCCATCCCCTTTAAATCTCCAGTTTATTATAGATTGTTTAACCAGTTGGAAACACAATATGTGGATATAACATGGAACACACATACTCCACAAGAGACACTTTTTATCAACATGATTCGCTGTCTATTTTGTTCAGGAAAATTTTCTTAGACACTATAAACTGCAACTTTTACCACTTAATTGAACCTAATCTAATTAGTCTCTTTTTATTCTTTCAAAATTTGGCCAAGTAAGAAGTTACAAGGGTCAATTGTCACCAAAATCAAGTATTATCTAATTATCTTCTTATTGTCTCCATTTTTGGGTTCTATAATGTCCTATATACGAAGAGTTTTCTATTTATTTTGAATGAATTGCTTAAAATTATAATAGTTAGTAATTATTCATTTAAATAGTCATCTATGGATGTATATAAAAAAATTATAACTGATTGTATCCTGATCCATATACTCCAAATCTCAAATTCACAATTTTCATGTGCAATTCTACTAAATTTCCCTCACTCCTAATGCCACTTTGACACAACTTGGTACCCTATTAAGGCTTAGATGTGGTCCAAACTAAAAAATAAGAAAAATGTTATTTGGATCTAATTTACTAATTTAATTCACAGTAATTATTAGATTGAATGTGTCTTGTCAAATATTGAAGTTTCGTGTTAATCCAACGGGTATAGTGACACCACATCATTAAATAAAAAAAAAATTAGATCAAGGTGAAAATAGCATTGCTAAAAAATAATTTTGTTTTGACCAAGTGTTATCGAGAGCAAATAATTTTGTGTT